AATAATAATAATAATAATAATAATAATAATAATAATAATAATAATAATAATAATAATAATAATAATAATAATAATAATAAAGAGTTAACATGATAAAATTATCTAACCATTAGAAAATTAATTCAAAGAGCTTTAGAATAAAATTGAGAAAACCTGAAAAGGACAACACAAATATTTTTTACACTTACAAGATTTTAAAAAGCAATTCAGCATGATATACTATGTTCAGGGAGCACAGATCACAAGGCAAGGCTTTCTTGCTTCTAGTTTGGTTTGGGTTTTTTTCTTTCTCAAGTTTTTCTTTCTTCCTCTCTTCCCTGCAGTTATCCTTCTCACTCTTCAGGTTGCCTTGGTGTAGAAATGATGATCCAGGATCACAGCTATCAACAACACATGGAAAAGGAAGAAATATTGTCTCCCTGCTCAGGCTGGTCCTCCCAAAGGTGTGGATGTCACTAAGACCAGATCAGAGAGTCGCTATCAGACCTGCCTTTTTCTTCTACCCATATAGCACGTGGAGAATAGAAGGCTTGAGGCAACTTAAAAGTAATAAGTAAATCCTCCCCGCCTTTCCTCCCCCCCCCCCCCCCCTTTTTTTTTCCTGCCCTATTCTGGGCAAACGTGCTTTAGATTAATAAAATCTCCATTTCACTTCATCATAAGCTCATTCCTTAGACCAGTTACTGACTTACGCCAAATATCAATTGGTTTTCAAGAGTGCCTTTGCACAAATGTATCAGCCTGAGTGAAGCGATGACTCCCTCGCTGTGTCTGCCCAGCAATCGGGAGGACTGTTGGTTTTCCTTCGGAGTGTAGGACTGTGGTTTCAGTAAGTCTAGTAGGCTTTTTTGAACTGTTTGTGGTGTTTACCTATCGTACCTTCCCTGAGATTGGGCACGTAACACGTTCTGAGACATAAATAACCTGTGAAATCCTGCTGTGAGAGTGTATGAACTACTTACAACTCTGTAAACAGAAAGTCAGGTTGGAGAGCTACACGGTATCACCAAAAACTAGAGACCGCTGTATTGTGGGAGTGAAAGAAGAAGTATTGCATGAGAGTAGACAGGAAAATTGCAACACGGTATTTTCACATCAGGATCTTTTCAGCAAAAGATTCAGGAAGGCTTCCAAATTGTGGGTATTTTCTAACCCGCTCCAAATCCAACTTTTGCCCTATACCAGATCAGAGTATCAATTTCAAGGGAATCCGCCTCACTAAGAGCCAGTGCAGCCGTAGAAAACGTACTCCCGTAGTGTACTCTACAAACACTTACTCTTGTGGCACATTTATTTAATATACAGGCATGCAAGAACTGATCCACTGTTCTGCTTTGCACCGATTACTTTCAAGGACTCCCATTTTGCCTGAGAGAGAACAGATATAAATAATTATAGAACAAAATGTTGTCAGAGAATAATGCGCTCTGGTTGCTTCAGTCCAGTAAGAGCAAAAGCAACCATAAACCTTTCACGGAAAAGGGTGATCATTGATTCTATGAGGATAACACTTTATTACAGTGCCTTGTTTCTATTACACCGAAATGAAATATCTTAGTCCTTCTTTATGTATAGTTTAGCTTACACATCTAATTTTGGCCTTTTTAAAATGACCTTGGCACGTCAGAAACGTTACTATTTCTTTCTAATGCTGAACTCAGTGTGCAACACAGGGGCATTTTCAAACATGAACATCATGATTTATATGTTAAGTTGTAAACTGGACAGTATAATGTTTCAAAATCAGCTCCTGCTTCCTTCACTTCTCTCCTAATGTTTATTACTGAAATGTAGATTCTTTCCCAAACTAGAAAAGGCACATCATAAAAAGTCATCATTTCTACCTTTGTCCAATTTGTACATATACCTGTGTATCGATAGCTGATCCAGACTAACTTAAAAAGTCTCACTTTTTCTCAAAGACAAAAAAGACATGTATTTTCTCAAAGACATGAATTTTATACATCGTATTTTGGAGCATAATACCTCAAGACCTTATTATTATTTCTGTTAAGGACATCAATGGTACATCGGAAAAAAAAAAGTGAGAAATTAGAGAACATTTGAGCTCCTGATTACTCATTGAATAGTCTGGATCTTAAGTAAAACTAGACAGATTTCTAAGAAAATTAATTAGTCCTCTTAAGGACCACACAATATGAAAAAATAACAGTGACAATATTAAACACTTATGCAGAAATACATCATCCTTTTATAATTATTCTTTATAGGCAACTATTCAAGCAGTCCATTTCTATCTTCTCCCCAGTATATTCATTACAAAAGTAACTCTAAAATATGACTAACCGGTTTCTAAGTTTTCGTTAATGACAGCTTTATTCTGCTTTATAGCTGAAAAGATGTGATTTACTAGGTTTTGGCAGTATATGTCTGCAGTTAGTTTCTTTTCAAAAAAGGTCAGGGGGCGTTGGAGATGATTCAGATTGTAGTGTGCGCTGATTTTACGAATGTTTAATTTTTCAACTGTAATCCATTTATATCAATGTGATTTCTGAGTCAAGTGAGGTGTAGTTGAAAAGCATGCTTATTTTAAATTTTACCAAAATATGTTATAGCTGTTTAACATCAATTTTACTTAACATAATTAATCTTGAAACTTACATGTGCATATGTATTGTGTCAATTATCACAGATCACTACGAACACGCAGTCAGTACAGCCATTAATCATCCATGCAGACACCTTGGAAAAGGGCAAAGTTTGATCCACGTCTCAAATTATGTACGTATTGAAGAAGAATTTCTGTTTCGGAAGCGAAATGTCATTAAATCATCCCTGCACCAAAAATAATAGTAATAAAAAAAGCTTACTGAGTTCGTTTAAAATAAACAAGGACAGAATTGCTATCATTGATGCAAAAAAGAGGCAGGCTACTTTTATGAATGCCATAAAAATAAACTATTTTAATAGATACATAAATAAAAGGTTTAAAGTAGAATTTTCCCCCCAAACATAAAGATGGCCTAGCTTCTGTACAGAAACTGAACAATATTCACGTGACTACTACATTAAATAATCACTTTGTTACATTCAAAATAATTGGAGGCAAATACATAATGAAATGATGCACCTGAATCATTCTCCTTTCTCATCCTAGCAGTGTATACAGCATTTTCTTGTTTTACAGTACTCTGAGGATGTGGATCTGTTAAATAAAACTCTGACTGATAGGGTGGAAATAAAATTAAAAATCAAAGGGAAAAAACCCCAAGCAACCCTAGCACCCAAAGGGGTACCTTGCATCACCCAGTAATTGAAGTTTTAATGGAAGAGAAATAAGTGTTGTGCTGTAAAATAAATTATGTCTTTTACATATTGTTGTATAGTTATCTTAAAGTGTTTAAATATTACATTCACTTTGGTGATGTGTTTTTGTCTATGCCTATAATAAATTATACATGGTGCGTGCTAGCTGTTCATGTGTGTTGAACAACAACCTTCTGGTTTTACTACAAATGGGGGGAGCTTAGCACATCTAGGAAATCTTAAAAATACTTCTGATTTATGTAAGACAGACAAAGTCTAATTCAAAGCAGCTTTCCTCCTGTCATGCCCCCCTCCCCAGCACCTCTAAAAAGTTACTCTGATGGCTTCGTGTTTTTGCTGTGCTGCATCGAAAGATGTCATAGGTTGGCGACTAACACTTTCTGACCCACAGAGGTTCTCAAGTTTTGTTTTTCCTTTCTCTCTCTGACTTATCTCTCAGTTTGAGAACATCTGCCATTAACATCTCCATACTCTCCACATATCCCGACTAATTTAGGCAAGGAACCACCGTTTGTCCATCAAAAAGGAGTTTACTGAAATTAGGTGTTATCGCCGTTGTTATCTGGAATGTGGCTGTGATGGGTGAGCACCATTCATCCTGTAGAGGAGAAAGTTTGTCACGTGGATGTTTACGTACACTCAAGGCAGAGTGTTGAGATATCTTGTGCTGGTGAAATCAGAGAAAGAATTAAAAGATGACAACTTTCATCCGTAGTGCAGAGCTAGCATTTCTAGTATGTTCTGTCAGAAGTTCAAGAAAGCTGGGCCAAGCTGGCTTAGACTTGGCAAAAGAGCGTGCTTAGAGCCTATCCACCAGCAAGACGTGAACGGCAATGTAATGATTGCCCTTTTTTCCGATTTGCTTTTTTCTTGTTCTTGTTCTTGTTCTTCTTTTGCTTATTCGCACCTTTACTTTTATCCGATTTCTTCTTCTTTTCATCCTCCTTAAACCACGGTCCCCATACTCCTCCATTCAGCTTCGGGTTACTCCGAGGGTCCTTAGGTGGGTATCGAACAGGAACCGCAGTCTTATTGAACTGTGAAAGCCTCCGCAGCAACTGCTTCACTACATCTGGATACCTCGCAGAGAGGTCCACTCGTTCGTACGGATCAGCGGTTATGTTGAAAAGCCACACTGTTTTGCCAGCTGACCAAGACACGCGTTCGTTGTGCCAGCGGTTGGGGCCCGCGTTACTGAAGGCCTGCGGAGGTACCCAGTCGCTATATCCTGGATTTCCCGTCAGTAGTTTCCAGTGATTCACTCTGATGGCAGACTGAATCGCAGTGTTCCAGATCCCGTAGCCAGCTGCCCAGGACCCATTTTTGGCTTTGGTGTAAATCGGGTCAATGTTGTGTAAGATGTCTACCCGTGGAGAACGTCTGCCTTCGCTAATGGTTTCCCATATATCATAGCCATCCAGCTGGATATCTTCATCGATCTGCCCTTCTGCCAGCGTGATCAAAGTGGGGAACCAGTCCGTGATGTGCACAAGCTCCTTACACACAGACCCTTTGTTTTTCAGAAGGGGGCTATGGACAAACCCAACAGCACGGATACCTCCTTCCCAATAGGTCCCTTTGCTTCCTCGGAGAGGCCAGTTACTTCCTCCGGCCATTGGCCGCCCGCCCCTGTCTGATGAATATATGATAATGCTATTCTCATAGTAACCGTACTTCTTTAAAGCAAGGGTTACGTTGTTTATGGCTTCATCCAAACAAGCTAGCATCGCAGCGTATCTTCGCCTGTTGATGTTATTGATCGATCGATAATGTTCAAAATACTTGCCTGGTGCCTGAAGAGGCGAATGAACAGCTTGGTAAGCAATATATAAGAATACAGGTTTCCTGGGGTTATGAGAAGCTAAGATTTGTTGTACTTTTTGTGTGTACATCTGCGTCGAGTAGATGCCGTTGTCATGATCCCAAGCTGCGTTGTCGTTCTCGTACAGGTCATAGCCGCATATCCCAGGGCTGTCACATTTGAAGTGAGTGTAATAGTCGCCGCTGCCTAAGAGCGAGCCGAAGAAAGTGTCAAATCCCCTCTGCGTGGGCATGCATTCTCTGCGGTAAAAGCCCAGGTGCCATTTGCCAACCATGTGCGTTGAATACCCAACCTCCTTCAGCTTCTGAGGTAGCGTGACGTTATCCAGAGGTAAGCAGTTGGGCTGGGTTGGCCGTATAATGGAGTGCTGAAGGCCCGTGTGTATCTGGTACCTGGAGGCAGGGAGGAGACAGGCATCAGGCCGGGGGGCGGGGGGGGAGAAACGCTCAGGCCCTTACGCATGGACACTGTAACAGAAAATGTTCCTACGCATGCAGCAATTTTCTCTGGAAATATTTTGAAGTGCGTGTGTCAAAAGCTAACGAGGTCACACTATTAAATCTGCGGAAACAGGAGAACGGCATCTGTTTCGCTTCACAAGTGTTTAAGAGCGGTTCCCCCAGCTCCTTTGGCCCGCGGGCAACAATACTGAACAAGAAACATGACACAGCAGCGTCACACACTTCTCTCCCTGCTGGCCTCGTTTTTAATGTTTTAATTTCCTTGTAGCTGTGAGCAATGTCAAAGGATATCAGAGGCAATGTGCTGCCTGTGAACCATTATTTGGGCATTACTATTTTAAAGCTAGCAGTCAAACTCACGGGCCTTTACGGTATCCCTTCTGGATAATGCAATCCCCAGAAAGCAGAACGATCGCGTTGTTTTTCCTGAGCACGAACAAGTCCTGCAGCGCTGACTTGGGACCAGCTCTCACGGCACGCGCGACACTGAAAGCCCGACGGTCCGATTTCTGGTCATCCGTCACGCGATATACCTACGGGCTATGACTTAGCAGAGATGTTACTGATATCATAACAACCGAGTCAGCCGTCAGCACGCGCACGACGGGGCCTGGCTCTGCTCTCTCCCGGAACACCGACAGTCCCATGCTCCGGCATTTATCTCCCGAGTAAGAGGCGTAAAGTACGCGCGGACAGCGGGTACCCTGGCCAAAACTCAAGGACGCATATGCAGTTACAGTGAAAGAGGATCACGAGCGATCACTCAAAAGGAAGCGGTAGTTTCATCCCTGGATCTCTTGTTCAGCAGTCATTTTCTGTCCTTGCCTCACTGTTCGACGAAATGTTTCCCTCCGTGAACTGAGCTAGTCAAAACACCTATATATTCAGGAGCGCAGATATTTTGAGGTGCTTTTTCTTCCTCCACAGAAAGCTTTCACGTGTCCCCATTTAACAAGGATTATAGAAAATCACGTGGATAACTACAATTTTTACAATGCCTTACAATTTGCTAGTGGTAAACAGATCTACAGCATATAAATATGCTGGACTTGAGCACGTAACAGCAGTGTATTTAAAGGACAGGATAATAAATTCTGCAGTGCAGTGCAGTCTATGTGTAAAGAATACATATGGCCTCCATATGATTAGAAAATGAATTCAGCGTGGGCAGTAGTAAGTATCAAAAATCAGGGACAAATCTGTTTATATCAGTCTGACACTAAAAAATAAAATGTAACAGCACACTGTAAACCAGAGACAGCTTCTCCCTGAGTGTGAGAACAGATTAAATTCTCAGTCATGAATAGAACAGCTAGGTCCACCAATGCTGTGAATCTTCCCCCAAACCACTTTTTTATTAATTTATGGTAGTAGGAGTTGGGACTTCCTGACACATTCTGCCAGTATTGCCAATCTGATTGGCCTCCTGAGCTATCTAGAAAATTAAAAACATTAGGCTCTGCCTGTCCATAAATAACATAAAGTCTGCTTTTATATATGATGTCTTCCTGGCCAAGATCTTAGAAGGCACCACAGATGTCTTTAATGCCTGCCAATCTGTAATAATTGTGTAACTCCCATTTTATTCTTGAACTTATTTCCACAGAACCAGAAGCTCTAGTCTAACTAATTTATTGCAGAAGCTTTGGGTGTTGCACTCCTCCGCTTTAAGCTAGCCTGCACTCGGTACACTGCAGCGCTGCTGCTTTTCTTTGTCTCTCTGGCACTTTTTCAGAGCATTGTTTCTGTTACCGCTTTGTGGATCTGGAGCCCTGCCACCCAATTGTCCCCAAACTCGCAAGCTGGTGCTGACACAGGAGGTAGCGCAGGAGTTAAAGCATACTCTCAAAATTACGGGTTTCTGGGAGCTACGCTTTGCTTCTCTAAAAGAAATGTCATGCGCACACAAATACCCACACCTTTCCTATGATTCGAGTGTAATATCCTTCTCCTTTCAAAACAGGTCAACTACAGTAAGGAAACCACGCTGACTAACGGCAGTGCCCCACACTTCAGTTCACTCCATCTTTGAGAGTCCTCAGGGAACTACGTTCACAAGACGTTTCATTCCCTTCCCCTTCTCTTTCCTCCGCCTTGGTAAACTCTTTCAGTAACTTCCCCTTATTTGATCCAACTGAAAAAGTCCTTGCCCCCACCCTGCTATTTTAGTAAACAGCTTTGTGTTTTCTTAAACCTCGACAGCCTCCTGTATCTTGAGATCAAACCCCCATCCCAGCTGGACAGTTTCTCTCCTGATAAGCTCATTTTGCTGGAAGTCAGAATTTTCTCTGAAGCGATGTTGTTGTAATAGAGATCCTTCCACCCTTCCCCTCGACACGGAAACCGAGCCTGGAGGGAACGGGCAGCAGATTTTGCAACACATTGCAAACCAGTTTGCCTCCTGACAAAGCCTACACAGAAAGTATGATATTCATACAAAGTTAATTCTCATAAAGAATTCATAAACAACAGGCAGATTTCCCCAGCTAGGGTTTCGATTATATATCCAAGCATGAAATTCCTACACTGTTAATCTGACAAATACCGAACCAAAAAATATCAGATATACATATTCTTCTTAGGAAAATATCTGGCACACAGCAATGCATCTTATTTCAGCAGTCCCCTCAGTAAGTTATTCAATATGCTGGCTACAACGCGCATATGGCAGCCCTGCTTCAGTTCTCTGCTGCTGCCTTTTTTCATGAGACTTTGGTGTGTTTCCCATATGTGTGTGTGTGTGTATGCTATTTATGGCAGAGCTATGCTTCTGAATAGACATATATGCACACATACAAATAGATACGCGTTTGTATGTTCAGGTATGTAAAAAGCGGTCTGCAAAACAACCAATTTTGAGTAAATGATTTCAACTGTAGAAATGTTTCGAAGAAAGATCAACCTCTAATCATCAGAATATTCTTCGCTGTTACAAAAATGGTCAAGATCTGTTCACTTTTCCGTGCCACATGCCTTCCTAATTGATCCATTATGTGCCGATATTACTTTTTCAGTGAAAGTATTTTGTTTTCAAAGGACTTGCATGTTTTCATGGGAAAACAAAGTAATCCGAGCGAATGACGGCGATTAGATGGAAGTAAATGGCATTAATAGCAATAGGAAAAGTGTCTCAACATTACCGTTTTGAAACTGTTTTTAGACAGTGCAAGAGAAGAAAAAACTGAACGAGGCAAAACAGAAAGGAAATAAGAGGCAGATGCTGATTTTGGGGAGCTCTCTAGAAGACAAACTCACAAGCTCACTAACTGCCATGAAATGTCTGTGAAATACATTCTATAGATTTCATTGCTTTCTACCGCAAGATTAGCTAATTCTTTAGAATAAATTGGTTGAATTTAATCCCAAATGCAGAAAGCAAGTTATGATCATCAATAGTCTGGAATTCATCATGATAATTACAACACGAGTAACCAGTTAAATATAAGCAAATGCTGACAGGCCACAGAATCTAATTTCATAGGTTTTTAGACTTCGACCTTTATGGACAGTATTTACGTAAAGGTAATAGACTGATAATATTCTATAAAGTATAGGGGCTCAAGACTTGTGAATACTTCATACGCATGTACTATGCTCTCTTTCTCCCTACCCCTCCCAAGTTTCTAGATCATGGCTGTCTCTATTAGACACCTGAAATTTGAAACGTGCAGAACAAGAACTAAGTAAAATCTATGTGACATGTTGTCGTGGTTTAATCTCAGTCGGCAACTAAGCCCCACGCAGCCGCTCGCTCACTCCCCCCCACCCGGTGGGATGGGGGAGAGAATTGGAAGAGCACAAGTGAGAAAGTCGTGGGTTGAGATAAAAACAGTTTAATAATTGAAATAAAATGATAATAATAATATGATAATAATAATAATAATAATAATACACAAAGCA